CCCCTCTAGCGCTTATCTTGGGCTTCAACGTTTGAATGAGCAGCGACCCCTTCTTCTTCCATTTCCTCAAGACTCACTGGAGAACACGCACACACACACTCGCGTTCTCAAGCGAAAAATAAGAAAAAAAAACTCACAAAAAAATTCTGCTGCTTTTGAGTCTCGAGTTTTTTAGACAAATTCCGGACAGAAATTCCGGATTTTTGGGTTTCAAAGATGAGGTTCAACTAATTTGAGGTTCGTTCGAGGTCGTCGGTGTAGTTTCTGAGTCCGTCAAGGTCCGGTGCGTCGAGGTGCCGTTCAAGGTTATTTTCATGGTTCACGGATCAAACTCTTGCTGTTGTTGCATTTTTGGTCAGATTTAGTTCGTCGAAATTTGCCATAACTGAATTCTCGTTAATACTAATGAGTTAATTGTTGAGGTCCGTCACTTTCCATCTCTTTTCTTTCTTTATTAATCAATAGATTACTTTCTATTTCAGTAAGTTTGAATCTGTATTGTTTGGTTTCCTTGTCATTTTGTTTAATATTTTTGGATTAGTTCCTTTTAAATTGTTATTTTATCCTTGTTGGACGTCTTAGTTCATTTATCTGCTTTCCTGAAAATACGTACTGCTGCTTTGAAATCCTTTGGATGAATTCACGCTAATTTTGCTGCATTGAACTAAGTTGTACGCATGATACAATTGTTGAGTTGATGTGTTGACTTTTGTTTTTTTTTTAAATATGGCAGTAAGTTTATGTAGTTAATTGTATTTTGGGAGATGGTTGATTATATTTGGATTGGTTTGAAGCTGTTAAGTAAGACGTATCTATGGCCCTCGAGAATTTGGCTTGAATCCTCTTTAGAATTGGAATTGAGGCGTGTCGTGCCTAATAAAATTTATAAAATGCACGGTCTTCATTAATTAGTTTTTTTTTTATCCTTAGACTCTGAGGCATGCCATTTAGCAAATTCCATGGCCCTCGCAAAGTGCAAACGCGTAGCTGCTTTAGGCGCGTATTTAATAACATTACCTTCCCAAACTCGGGTGCACATTTATGTGACCCAAATCAAAATCTCAACGAAGTCAAAATATGTTAACAACCCGGGGTGCATTTCATGTGGCCCGGTTCTAATTTTCGACAAGGTTAAATAGAACGTGTCGTGAACCACGGGTGCATTTCATGTAGCATGGCTTGCGATATGTTTTAAATAACCTTGGAATAATTCCTTAAATAAATAAAAGCGGTTTTAAAGTTAAAAGTGCACATAGGTTTAAAAGTGTTTTAAAATCAGATAATTGAGCCAAAAATAATAGTTGAGCGACCGTGCTAGAACCACGGAACTCGGGAATGCCTAACACCTTCTCCCGGGTTAACAGAATTCCTTACTCAGATTTCTGGTTCGCGGACTGTTAAACAGTTTCAAACTTTTCCTCGACTCGGGATTAAACCGGTGACTTGGGACACCATAAATTTCCCAAATGGCGACTCTGAATATAAACAATAAATCTCGTTTCGATTGTGCTTTAATTGGAAAAACTTCCTTTATTTACACCCTTCCGGGGGTGTAGGTGAAAAAGGAGGTGTGACAGCAGAGTCGCCAGAGCTGTCACACCTCCTTTTTTCTACCTACATCCCCAGCGGAAGAGTGTATAAGGTAAAGTGAGTTTTTCCAATTAAAGGACAATCGAAACGGGATTTATTTATTTAAAAATTCAGAGTCACCACTTTGGAGATTAATGGTGTCCCAAGTTACCGGTTGAATCTCGAATCGAGGAAAATATGACTCTGTTAACAGTCCGCGAACCAGAAATCCGAGTAAGGAATTCTGTTAACCCGGGAGAAGGTGTTAGGCATTCCCGGGTTCCGTGGTTTTAGCACGGTCGCTCAACTGTTGTATTTGGCTTAATTATCTGATTTTACTACATGTTTAAACCTATGTGCGTTTTAACTTTTAAGCCGTTTCTATTCATTTTTAGGAAGATTTCAAGGTTATTTAAAATATGTCGTAAGCCACGTCACATAAAATGCGCCCTTGATTCACGACACCTTCTGTTTAACCTTGCTGCAATTAGAACCGGGTCACATGCGCCCCGAATTTAGATTTACTTATCATGACTACCAAGGAATCATAGAGTAGAATAAGTTGCATTATAATTATTGACACACAGGGGCAGATGGTTTACCTCCTCTTTCACTACAAAAAAAAAATTAATCAAATAGATGTTAAATGTACTCAATTAAAATAAGATACATTTGTACGGACTGCGATAATATAAGCATTAATTCAGCTAATTACCTTCACTGGTTGATAAGAAACGGGAAGGTGCTGTTGAAAGGGAAACAAGCAGGAAGAGAAATACAATAAAACATATACTACTTTGCTTCATGAGTACTGAATAAAGTAAATGAGAGTTGAGTAACTACGTTCCAAATCAATCAACAATTTTCACTATTAGATCACTTTATATTCACGATAAGAGCCACTTGATTCCCAAACGATCATACTGTGAGAATACATCAGAACACCAAATCAAAGCACACGTAGATTTCTATATTATCTAAATCAAAATCAGCTAACTAATTCATTCTTGTTTCAAATAAAACGTCGGATTCAAACTAGGCACAAACAAATCAAAACTGGGCATGAGCAATCATATGGCAGCCATAGTTATCAAAGAAACAAGAACACAGAGAATTTTTTTTAAAATTCAAAGTAAGAAATGGACCTCGATAGCTAAGCTCTTTGAATCTGAAAATATCTAGGACCGAAAACCTTGGACGAACGACGGAACAGGGACCTCAGACAGCTACCTCCGGCTACCTCGAAGCTCGCCGGAAAGTTAAAAAAATAGCCGGATCTGAAAGTCCGCGAGAATCAGAAAGTCATACGCACACGCCGCTTTTTCCACGGCGACGAGCTGCAGTTTGAGCTACTATTTTCATATTCTTAGGGCTGGTTTTACAGCTGGTTGTGGTGGTGTTATAACAGACTTTTATACTTGCTCATCAAACGGAAAATGAGAGGCGATTTCAGGAGCAGTAACGGCCAGAGATTCGTTGTCTTCCTGCGGTTCAACACTTTTTAGTTCCTTTGTGACAGAGAGCCCATCGTGTGGATCTACATGCGGCTCCGAGGGAATTGCAGCTGGCGGTGATTCAAGTTTGTTTATCTAATGCAGGTCATTATCAACAGCTAGTGGTGGTGAGCAGCTGGCAGAGCTGCTGTGGAGAAGAATGATATGCTAAGGCCTTAGGGTGTCTAGACGCGGCTGCTGCTGCTTCTTTTCTTAGGGTTCTCTTGTGTTTATGTTAAGGAAGATGAAGGAAAAGGGTCGTTGGTTGCAGCTCAAAGAAGATGACTAAGCTTCAGTATGTAAGAAACGGCTGGAAGATGTTTTCCTCCTTATCTCTCTAGCGTTAGGTTTTTGTGTATTTTTTGGCTGATCTCCTAAAAATGTGTCTCCTTTCGCTGATAGCTTCCCCCGATCCCTTTTTCACGGCTCATGGTTGTGTGTATATAGGTTAGGTTTTTTGGTAGGATTTTAGATTAAGGGGTATGATCCTAGGAATTATGGGCTTGAAAATTATGGCCTAAAAATGAGTTGCTCGAGTCCAGGTTCTATCTTTTCTCCGCGAACAAGACTAAAAATACGATCTCAATTATTAATTAGTCCTACTTAAGTAAAATAGCTGTTCAAATAAGACTCACCTTTAAAATAAATTATTTTTTGGTATTTTTCAATATTAAAAATGACTACAAAACATTAATGGAATATTTTTTGTAATTTTCATTTTTCTTGTAATGAAATAAAGTAAAAGAGTCAAACTTAATTAAAATAGTTATATTAGGCCTAAATTAAATATTTTACGCTAAAATATAAAAAATCTTGGGGAGGGTCAAAAATCACATGTCTATAGTAAGTAAACAAATAGAAATTTTCCCCTCGGGCACAATATCAACAAATCCGCCCCTCGGGCAACATCTCAGAACAGTACCAGCCCCTCAGGCTCAAATTTCAGAACAATACCAGCCCCTCGGGCTCAATCTCACATCACAATGGGTACCCGCGCTCACTGGGGGTGTACAGACTCCGGGAGGGGCCCCTTACGGCCCAAGCGCAATATCAAGCCATCTCGTGGCATCAAATCTAGGCCCTCGGCCTCATATCAATCAAGCCACCTCGTGACATATTTATGTATCTCAGGCCCTCGGCCTCATATCAGTATCAATGTATCCTCACAAATAGGCCCTCGGCCTTACTCAGTCCAAAAATCATCACAAGCCCCTCGGGCAATAGTAAAACAGTATTTCTCAGCCCAAAACATCATTTAAAAATATCATTTAAGTCTCAAAACTATGTAAAATGGCTGAGTAGTAAAACAGTGGAAAATAACATGACTGAGTTCAAGTAGTAAGTCAAAACAATGAGGAAATAGTAATAAAAATTCCCGAAGGGTTCAAATAGTCGGCACAAACCCCAAATATGGCAATAAGCCCAAATCATGATGATAGCAAATAAGTTTCAATTAAATACGCGTTAAAATCATCAATCGGGACGGACCAAGTCACAATCCCCAATAGTGCACAACTCCACGCTCATCATCAAGTGTGTGTCTCACCTCAATATAGCACTACGATGTGCAAATCTGGGGTTTCAAACCCTCAGAGCATTATTTACAATCATTACTCACTCGAACCGGCTAAATCTCTAACTCACGATGCCTTTGCCCCTCGAATCGGCCTCCACGCACGTCGAATCTATCCAAAATCAGAACGAATACATTACAATATGCTAAGGGAACAAAGTCCAAGCAAAAACAATCAACAAAGGGCACGATTCCCGAAATTACCAAAATCCAAGCTTCGGTCCCACGTCTCGGAATTTGGTAAAATTTACATTTTCAGAATCCTCATACCCTCACGAGTCTAACCATGCTAAAATTATCCAATTCTGGTACCATTTGGTCCTTCAAATAGTTATTTTATATTTTTGGAAGATTCCACAACTTTTCTTCCCAAATTCCATCCCAAATCACGAATTAAATGATGAATTCAATTATAGATTCGTGTATTCTAGCCAAATCTGAGTTAGAATCACTTACCCCGATGAATTTATTGACAAACCTTCAAAAAATCGCCAAAATCCGAGCTCTCTAGGTCAAAATATTAAATAAAACCCAAAACCTCATATTTATAGAGTACCCCACAGATTTCCACCTCTGCGAACCGCACAAAAACGACCGTGGTCCGCATAAAACTAGTGCGGTCCGCACAAAAATGACTGCGGCCCCATAGGTTTTCATCTGCAGTGACAGGCTTTAGTATTTTGGCCATAACTTTCGTTGCAGAGGTCCAAATTATGATATCGTTTCCTTTATGGAAACTAGACACGAAGGGCTATAACTTTTGTTTTTGAATCATCTAAAAATGCCTTGTAAATCAAAAGATATGAGCTTCCGAAGTAGGACCAGTGAAATGTTCCCCACCGCGGCCGCACTGCATTTTGTGCGGTCCGCACAGCACCTACCACAACCGTATTTTGTGCGGACCGCGCTGGTGGGTTCCGAAGCCTGCAACCCTTCTGGACCTGCTACAGCTATGATTTTCGGCCTAAAACATCCCGGAACTTCAAACCAATTGTACCAACACATCCCATGACATCGTTCAAACTTGTTCAAAACTTCAGAACGCTCACAACAACATTAAATCACCAATTTAACATAGGATTCAAGCCTAAGAACTCCAAGAACTCTTAAATTATGCTTTCGATCAAAAAGTCTATCAAATCTCGTCTGAATGACCTGAAATTTTGCACACACATCCCAAATGATACAACGAAGCTACTATCATTCTCAGAATTCCATTCCGACCCCTATATCAAAATCTCGCCTATCAACCGGAAATCGCCAAAATATCAACTTCGCCAATTTAAGCCTAAATCTTCTCTACAAATCCAAAACCCATTCCAATCGCGCTCCTAAGTTACAAATCACCTCCCGAAGCTAACCAAATCATCGAAACTCACTTCCGAGCCTTCTAACACATAAGTCAATATCCGGTTGACTTTTCTAACTTAAGCCTTCTTAAAAGAGACTAAGTGTCTCAAACTTCACCAAACTCATTCCGGACTCGATCCGACCAACCCAATATCACAAAAACACGGATAACGAAGGATAAAGAAGCTAAAATGGGTGAAACGGAGCGGTAACTCATGAGACGACTGGCCCGGTCGTCACATCCTCCCCAACTTAAACAAACGTTCGTCCTCAAATGTGCCCAGAGTTGTTCCAGAAGCCAACAAATTGCTGAATAACTTTACTATGCATATACCCGGGGGTGATCCCACGTCACCCTATCTCATATAGGTCCGATAACATAATGCAACTAAAATTTCACAATCCAACCTAGCCCATAAACCTTAGAACCCCATTTCCACCTCTGAAATCATCCACAAGATCAGAATTTCACATCTATATTCAGAATAAGCCCGAACCAGCTGTAATAACCCATACCTGCAACCTCAGGTGCAATTACATGATAAACCACGTAACTCAAATGCTCGTAGCGATAACTTCTATTCACAGCAGCTACCACAACAACCGAATGCCGGTAGAAAACCTCTTATCAACTAAAGTCTCATTCCAACACTTTCATATACTGCCAACGATAAATAAAACACGCAATAAACCATAACTATTTCTCAGATCAACCATTCATGAAGCCACTTCTCTTTTGGCAAATGCCATAGCAAATTTCCGAGCCGAACCTCGATATTATCCTTCCAACATGCTAAAATTGAATCCGTTCGTATTCATTAATGATCCCAACGATCTCCTCTAATCCAACACACCACTCTGGTGACATTACACATCAATATAGGCCTAAGCCACAACTTGCATAATACGCGCACCAATAAGCAACGATCCGAACGTACTCAAATCATGAAAATGACTCAAATGAAAGAGTTGTACCTCAAGCTCAGCAGTACCACCACAACACAAGGCTGAGAACTCGTCTCACATCATAGGAATAGAACACACGAATCTAACCTGAAAGGTCATACCTCCACATATATTCGCTGCAATGCGCGATCTTATCCAAACACTACTCCACATGGAACACCTCAAGTCACTCTGTTCGAAATTGACGACCACGCGCAATTGATGTCTAGAATCAAAGTAAATCATCATAACCACAGTAAATCAAGTACATAACACCGCACAACTCGAAAGGGCATAACAGATGCGCCATCCGCCAAGCAATATCCAATACTCCTCCCGCTCGAATCCTGCTGAGAGACCCCAATAACACCGCACCACATGTGCCGATAACCAACAAATCCTAACGCCTCACAACACGGAAAGGTAACTCATAGGCCTCCCCGGATTACTAATAAGCTTCAATAACCGATGAATCAATACCTCTCTCAATAATACAATTCGGAGCCAACCAAGCCCACTCAAGTTAGAACACGCATCCACATTGGCCTGCCAACGAACTCCTTATCAAGGTGAAGCTACTCCTTCCACACCTTTAACTCTGCCGTTTGAATGCATACCGCACCTCAAATACCCAATCATTCCACGAAAGATACTCTAAAATTCCCCTGTGTCACCAAGCAAACTCGAATATCAACAGTCGATCTAACAAGAAAGCACCGCAATTCTACCGAAGTACCCTTAACTTAATCACATTGCCTTTTTTGAAACATATACCCTCGTCAAATCACTCCCATTTAGCAATACCATTTTCTTAATCATCTGGAGATCATCCCCCTAATCATCTGAAGCTCATTTCTCTAATCATCTGAAACTGCCTGTGCTGCCTAAGAATTTTATGACTTTCCGTTCAAAACTGAACTGTAACCTTACACACGCAAATCTCAATCCTCCACACATACCGCATATACCATACCATCCTAGGATAACATGAGAACTTCATCTCTCGTCCGAGCTACAAACATCTACGTACTCCACTAGTCAAGAACTTTCCATTAATCCCATATAGAAAGAAATCACTATGCATCCCATGCTCCTCATTCCCATAGAAAATATACAACTCTAACCGAGGTAGAAACCATCAAGAACTCTCCGAGTTCCCCTTGCACAAACCAGACCTGCCAGGACTGAATCCTTCTAACTCGACCAATCTATGCAAGCCATCAAAACCTAAGAGCATTGCCGCGAAATACCTATAGGAACTCATTACCCCGTACACACCCAAGGAACTAATCATATCCTTACCATACCGATCCGGCCTACTACCCAGCTATCCCATCTATCCGAGTTTCTTTCTAATTTACATTTAACTTGATATCCCTTCTTGTTGTAGCACCACAATTCCTCAACCCAGACTTACCACACGAGACCCAAGCATAAAACCATACTATCTAAGGCTTATAAGTTGCTGAGTACTCTCTTAAATATTTCCAAAAGCACCACGTTCATAATACCTACCCCGAAAGGACTTCATACGAATATGGAACCATTACCTTCCTAATATTGATATATAGAATCCTATAGTTAATGTAGAAAGTACCACAAGTCTTGACATCTTCCAAATGAAAACTCAGTTCCTAACCACATATACAACTTTAAAATACCCAATTGTTACA